TAATAAAGAATCTCATGATGTCATCACTGCTTATAGTTGTAGTTGTAACATGGTTCAACAGAGATGGGATTTTTCATTAGACCAGCTATAGTACTGAAAAGGAACCTGTAGTTTAGCATTTTAAATATTAAACTTGTAAACAAAAAAACATTTGCTTTGGGCCTTACATTAGAGTATTCAAATAAAAATACTTCATGCAAGCTTGTTAAATCCAAAATTACCGGTAGTCACCTTTTTAATGGAATTTTGTATTATGGCTAGTACTAAACTAGCAGGATTGTTGACATGGAGCCAATGTTGCTAATATGTAGCATGTAAAAACATTGTAGACTTGTTTTAACACTGTGTTAGTCACATGAATCAGTACAACTCATCGCTGTTTGAATGTAGGGAGAGTTTGGAATGAATAGATGTGTCAGAGTTCAGTCTGCTCCAGATGATGATGAAGGAGAAGCTGTGTGACATAATCTGAATATTTATGGTGATGTGCACTCCTCTGTTGGTGTGGGATTGGGTGACAACTTCAGATATAAGACCCTAGGTTGGAAATAATAAGACAAACGTGATGTTCTCATGTATTTTTTCTCTGACAGTTAAATGGTATGATGATGATGTCTGTATTTATTTTACTGAAAACATCAGAATTTATGTTGTAACTTAAAACAGACTACTGAAGTGTCCTTGTTTGTGTTGCAGTTGTTGGATGGCATGGGAGCCCAGTTTGGGAGCCTTCTTTGGCCCAGTGGCTTTCATCATTCTGGTGACGTGCATCTACTTCCTCTGCACCTTCATCCAGTTGCGACGACATCCTGAGAAGAAGTACGAGCTCCGGCAACTAACAGAGGAGCAGCAGAGGCTGTCTAGCGCTGACGTACCAACCCACTGCCACCAGGGGGCAGAGCCCGAGGCCCCTCCCACAGGGAGCCACTGTCCCGCTGGCTGTCCGGGCGTCCCCATCAACCCTGCACTGTTGGCTAATGAGCACTCCTTCAAAGCCCAGCTACGAACGGCAGCCTTCACTCTTTTCCTGTTCCTGGCCACGTGGACTTTTGGGGCTCTGGCCGTGTCACAGGGACACTTCCTGGACATGATCTTCAGCTGCCTTTATGGTGCCTTTTCTGTTACCCTTGGCCTCTTCATCCTCATCCATCACTGTGCCAAGCGGGATGATGTCTGGCACTGCTGGTGTTCTTGTTGCCCCGGACGCCATGGCAATGCTGACTCTGGAGCATCGGGTGCCGCTCAAACATGTCCTAAAGTAAATGTGAACGGTGACACCCAGGGACAAGGCCACAGCCACTGCCACCATGACTCACCGTGTCAGGCGAAAGCTCTGATGAGCTGCAGCCATGGCAGTTTAGCTCACTGTAAACATGCTGCTCTTCCATCCTCACAAAACCACGTAACATGTTTGGCACCAGTGACGCCGTGCTGCGCCGCCCTGCACACTCAACAGCTGATGGAGGAGGAGCCAGCGGCGACTCACGTGCTGCTCCACACCGAGCCTGGGATTCAGCTGCACTCCTGTCTAAAGAGCAGCTCCAGGACTAAAAGTCGGCAGTTTGGCCGCAGGGCAAAGGCCGCTGCCTGCGGAGCAGCGAGCGACAGGGAATACGCCTACCACATCCCGTCCAGTGCAGACGGAGGCAGCATGCACAGCTCACGCACTGACAGCCCTCACAGCACACGTGAGCGCCACGCCCACATCTGCCCGCATTTAGCCCATGAAGGCCATCATGACGGGCATCACACGTGCCACGCTGCCACAGCCGCCTTGCACGAGTCTTTGGCATGCCACAATCCCTGCCACAGGCACATCTGCTGTGCCAAGGCAGACCTGTTCCCTTCTTTGTGCCCGGCAGACACCGGAGACACGGGCGCCTTTCTGTGTGGCTGTGGCAAAGTAGCTGAGGAGGAGCCGGTTACAACGCATCACCATCTGGAGATGCACGCTGCGCGCAGACAATCCTGCCCCCAGAGCACGCCCAGTCAGAACGGGATTCTAAAGGGCGGCCTGCAGGAAGGACTCCTCTACACCTCGGACAGCACAGGGAATATACGCACCGGACCCTGGAAGAACGAAACTACTGTGTAGTGCCAGATGGAAAAACAGAAGATCCAGGCAGCGATCCTGTCTCGTCCTGCCAAAACAAATCTCCGCCTCCCTTTCTAGATGAAAAAAAAATCAATCAGAGTGGGTTTTATTTCATGTCCACATGTTTTTATGTGTGCTGTTTTATTGTTCTGAAATCTGAATCATGCAAATCCTCCCTGAGGGCCATCCATGAACTGAACAGACCCTCACGGCAGTTTGTGAAACGTGTCTCACTTCATAAAGACGTGACTGAAGGTATCGCTACTGTTCCATCTTACTACAGATCTATCTCTTTCTATATTATATGAATCTATATATATAAGAAAATGAATGGTTCAGTGTATGACTACATGTTAGTGCTCAAAGGCAACAAGCTGCAAGACGTTTTGACACACTTGAATCTGAAACTACCAATAGACTCATTCATGTTTTAGATGATTAAACCAGCAATTTTAGACTTCATATGGGCATTTTTGCCATTCACTCCAGCAACTGTGAATATATATTAGATTTTCTAACTAATGAACAAAGATACCCGCTGCTTGGCAGAGATGTGTTGACCCCAGTGGAGTTGTGAAAAGTCAAAGCCGCAGAAAAAGACGTGACAGAAAGCGTGCTCTTCAGGTTGCTGTTGATCGTGATGTCCGTATGATGTCTCCACCTTCGTGTTTCTTTTTCCTGATGAGAATAAATTGTTGACGCATCAGCAGCGACAGCCAGGCTGCTGTGGAGAGAGTTGGTGCCACTAAGATCTCCGGATGCAGTAGAAAATAAACGTGTAAACACTGTGAAAGAAAAGTGATTGTGAATGTGAACATTTGGGTTTAGTAACAAAAATCATTGTGGGAGATCAGCGTGTGAGCAATGTCCATGGCTAACTACAAAAATGAAACATTTCAGCCTCATTCTGAACCAAATATCTCTAAATAATGATCAATGGCAGTAACAAGATCTAATGTGACCCTTTTGTACTCTGGCACCATCTACAATACTCATAATTAATATATTTGATATAAGATAATTTTAAAAAAAACTTTAATTTTCTGCAGAGTTGGTCCCTCCTGTTCTGGTATCTAAGTTCAAAGTTCTTTATTTGCCATTTGTGCACAGACAACAATCCAGGCACACTGGAGTTCTTGTGCTGAGCTCTCACAGTTATAGTCAAAAACACTGAAACGCTAAATAAATACAAATAAGAACAAGGTGGTTTCTCTCTGTACAGAAATAAACCGTGTCCCATGAGCAGTGAAGTTCGGTCGTGTAGGTTCTTATTGCTCCTGATCAGTAGTTTAGTTTTGTCTTCAGTCGGAGACAGGAAC